GAACTTATAAAAAAGTCAAACAGGGCTCGTATTAAGCGTATCGTTTAAGCGAAAAGTTGAAAAGTTGGTTTTTATCTTTGTTTATCAAAAATTCATGTGTAAAATAAGGCTTAAAAACGTTAGAGCATAAAAATTACTGACTTTTATTTGCATTTTTATACTGTTTGAAAAAAAAAAACTAATAAAAAAGAATTAATTATTATTATTATTAATTCTATTAATTATTAACTAATATATTATTAGTTAATTCTTTTTTATTAGTTTTTCTTTTCAAACATTATAAAAACGCTATTAAAAACCAAAAATTTTTTTACTTTAACGTTTTTAAGCCTTATTTTAAACATTCAAATTATTAAACCAAATTTTTTTGTTTCACTTTATTGGATAACAATTGAAATATAAAAATTGAATAAAAACATCAACTTAAAACCATTTAAATCAAAAACTTAATTATATTTAAACTTTTATTAGTCCTTTATTCAAGAAACAATAAATTATATAAAACGTGGTATCTAATTTTTTATTAAGTTTTTGACAATGTTTTTTGATTTAATACACAAAAGCGCGAACTACAACAATACAGATTACGACAGCTTAAGCGCTTATACAAAATTTTCACATGCATTTTTATAGAATAGAACTAAAAAGGTCGAAAAAGAAAAATTTAAATAGAATAGAACGTAAAAGACTAGAAAAAGTTTTATAGATTTAAGAACAGAAAAGAAAAGGTTTAGAGTTTAGAAAAGAGGAAAGTAATTTGAGAGATAAATAAAAAGATAAAAATAAAAGGGAAATCTTACGACATTTTCTCTGCACAATTTAAAACCTCGTCAACGTCAAAATTGAAATTTAAATCTTGCTCGTCTTCTATAACCGGGTCAAGATTCATTTTTTCTTTTTCCGACAGTTTCACGGTATTTATCTCTTCAGTATCTGTTTCGCTTTGCACTTCACTGCTATTGAATTTGAATTTATTTTGATTAAATCTTCTCGTTCTACAGCTGATGTGCTAACAGTAATAACCGATAGGTTTTACCGTGCATTAGATAGAGGTGGAGAGGCTCACATCTAAGGTGGCATTATTCGCTGACAACACTACCATTTACTCTTGTCATGATAAGAAGCCTACACTCTCTGATTGCTTGGAGGGGGTATCTGAGCTTGAAAAGGATCTCACTTCTGCTACAGCATGGGGCTCACAGTGGCTGGTGAACTTTAATTCAGATAAAACTCAATTTTATTCGGCCAATCGTTATCGTAATAATTTAGATCTTCCTATATTTATGAATGGTAATGTACTAGATGAGTCATCTACCATTCATCTTCTAGGATTAACTCTTACTTCTGATCTTTCTTTTAAACCCTATATCAAATCCATTGCAAAATTAGCATCTGCTAAGGTTGCATCTCTTTATCGAGCTCGACACTTTCTTACTCCAGATTCTATTCTCTATCTCTATAAATCTCAAATCCGTCCCTGTATGGAATACTGTTGCCACATCTGGGGCGGATCTTCTAATGATGCTCTTTCTCTTTTAGACAAGGTGCAAAAACAAATTGTAAACATAGTTGGACCTGCTCTGGCAACCAATCTCCAACCTTTGTCACATTGTCGTAATGTTGCTTCTCTTTCTCTTTTCTACAAATACTATAATGGGCACTGCTCTAAAGAGCTAGCGTCCCTTGTGCCATCTACTAAAATTCATTCTCGTGTTACTCGCCATTCAATTAAGTCTCATCCTTTTTCTGTGACTGTTCCTAAGTGCTTCAAAAACTCTTATTCTTCTAGTTTTTTTCCTCGAACATCAGTTCTTTGGAATTCGCTTCCTTCATCTTGCTTTCCTGATTCATATAATTTGCAATCTTTTAAGTCATCAGTCAATCGTCATCTTGCTCTACAGATTTAGTCTTTTCTCTTCCAGTAACTTCCAACTCTTATAGTGGTTGCTTGCAGCCTTGTTGGAAGTGAAGATGTTAAAAAAAAAAAAAAAAAAAAAAAAAAAAAAATATGAAAGATAGCATGTTAAAAGATAACAATTACGTGCTAAAGAGACAATTTTATACTAATG